TCACAGCCTATTACACTCTCATACAATACCTTAGCATACTGTTATTTGAACCCAAGCTTGCTGGAAACCTTGTTCAGGTGGATGGGGGAGATCACAAAAGTAAATAGGGAATTTGGAGGAGGGAGAGGACTCGCTGCCCTTTGCTGCCTCTTGGAACAGGGACGTCTGGGGGGGACCAAAAAGTCACAATGGCATCCACAGTCATGTGATCACAGCCTCTCCTCTTTTCTCTGCGCATCCCAAGAGATAGGACTTTGCATGATCACAGATGCCATTTTGAATTTTTGGGACACCCCCCCCCCTCCTGTAGATATTCCTCATTTGGGATCATTATGGATAGAACCATCCAACCTGCATCCAGCAAGGGAAAAAGGAACGGGCCCAATGGGGTCTCCAGCATGAGAACTGAAGAAGTGATGTTTTAGGTTGTAGAATGTAAGCCTTTGCTCAGAAGTAGGCTGTAAATTAAATGAACCCTGGAAGACAGCTGGCCCATGCAACTGGTTCTGTTTGTGAAACCACTCTTTTCTGGGAGGACGTGAACAGCATCTTTTAGCCTGTCTTCCAAAAATTATGAAACAAAAGAGGATGATGTGGGTGGGAAGGATCAGTGACCTTGAGAGATGAGAGGGTCTGGATCAGAGATGTAAAAGAATTCTACTGCCAATTCCTCCAAGAGCTGGTTTGATATTTTACCCACATGGTGGGAAGAATCTTAGATATAATCGCAGTTTGGTTACTACCTGTTCTTCCCTTAAAACAAATTCTATGGAGGAGTATATGAGGTGGTGTAGGGGACACCTTTTAGTAAATTGTGTACTTTTTAAAAATTCTGGCAAAGTTACAGTTGTGCCAGGTTCGTCACATGGTAACATCTTCATCACCTTGGCACCCCTTGCACGGACTATGTGACTACAACAACGCATTGTCATATGGTCCTTTCAGCAAGTTCTGGGACAGAAAGTTCTCCATCAAGATCTTTTGGTCAGGCCACGTCCTCCTTAATGTGTTTCAAAACTAACTGCTTTCACCATTCCCATCTCATGATGTTTTTGGTAGACTAAAAGTAACATTTTCGGGTGAGGAGGCTGGCGCAGAGAACTCCTCTATGAAATGGTAGAAGAATAAAGAGGAAATTTGAGGAGCTGTGTACTTCATCTGGAAAGCTAAGCACTGGTGGACGTTGATTACTCAGTTCTTGTTTCTAGTTTCTCTTTCCAAATTTATTTACCAAAAATATCATCATGAACGGCTGCACAAGTTTGCACAAGCTTGCGCAAAACAGGAAAAAAAATGAACTTATGACTTGTGGTCTTGATGATTAGACAGGATAGATTATAGAACAAAGAGAATTAAGTTGTAACTATAGAGTAAGAGGTAAATTTATAATTGTACCTATAACCGCTGTAAAGAAGATGGGAAGTTACTTCTTTGTATCTTTTTTCTTTCTTTTCTATTTTACTTCGTTTTCCTTTCTTGCACTTTTAACTTTCTCTTTGATTTTTTTTCCCCTGCTGTTTTCTTTTTCTTACTTTATATTCATTTGTATTCGTTTTTATTTTCCTTCTTTAAAATCCTTAATAAAATTTTATATATAAATGAAGGGCTGCCCAAGTGACTTTCAAAGCAATCACTTTGAAAACAAGCGTCAGAGGGGTAGTAAGCAGTGAGGCCTCTGGATAGCATTATCAGATATCTGAACAGGCAAAGGAAGACATGGCCAATTGGAAAGCAGGACAAATGGGGTGAAAGGAGAACACACTATTTTACTTTCTTGGCAGCCACGATAAAAATTGCAGCAAAAATTGCAAAAAAATAAAATAAAAATGGTACTTAGCCCTACATGTATATGAAATTGCTTTTTTCAGTGTCAGACAGACTGGTTTTTTAATGGCAGGAATGTGCTAGGGCCCCTTAGGAAAGAGAGAGAAAAAACCTTCAGTATGTAGTTGATTAAGGTCTTATCAATTTCAGGCAGCAGCACAAGCTGGAAGGAGGATGCTAATCTATTAATTAAGGTTGCAGAGTGGAGCTTGTTAACCTGAGTGTGAGTGTGTGTGTGTGTGACACTTTCGAGTCATTGTTGACTCCTGATGACTGCCTGGACAAGTCCCTGAAGTTTTCTTGGCAAGGTTTTTCAGATATGGTTTGCCCTTGCCTTCTTCCTAGGGCTGAAAGAGGGACTGGCCCAAGGTCACCCCGCTGGCTTCGTGCCTAAGGCGAGACTAGATCTCACAATCTTCCAGATTCCAGCCTGGTGCTTTAACCACTACACCAAACTGGTCTCTGTACCCACGGCAAAATAAAACATGCCCAGCAAACTTTCATGTGATACTCAGGTTCTCTCCTGCCTCTGCTGAAATAAGTCTTCAGTTGGGTTCACACAACAATCTTACATTGGTCATGGAATTAATCCACGGGGCAGGGGGAGTTGGATAATACACAAGATTGTAAGCTAAGTGGACAATATTTGTGTCAGTGCATGTGCGTGTGTGTGTGCACCTTCAAGTCAGTGTTGACTCCTGGCAACTGCCTGGACAAGTCCCTGAAGTTTTCTTGGCAAGATTTCGGAAGTGGTTTGCCCTTGCCTCCTTCCTAGGGCTGAGAGAGAGGGACTGGCCCAAGGTCAGCCAGCTGGCTTTGTGCCTAAGGCAGGATTAGAGCTCACGGTCTCCTGGTTTCTAGCCTGCTGCTTTAACCACTACACCCGACTGGCTCTCTATTAACTTTTGCATAGTGAAGAAAAGCTGCTCTGGAAGAGATAATTTGTCAGATACTTTTCAGCTTATGGTGACAAGGTAGATGTTGGTGTTTGCCATTTTTTGTTTTTACATCCCTCTTGGCTGCCCTGCCTTAAAAAAAAATCCATGGGAAGCATTTATTTATTTATTTATTTATTTATCAATCAATCAATCAATCAATCAATCAATCAATCATATTTGTATAGCCGCCCATCTCACCAGAAGTTCTCTCTTCCCTCACAATGTTTTGAGAGAAGTTATAGACTGCTGAAGACATGACAGCGAATGGAAAATAGGACACTCAAATATACCACTGGGTTTTATCATCAATAAGGGCAGCGCGAGAATTCAGTGTCCTGTCAAAATCAAAAGTGGTTTAGTTGTCACCATATTGGATGGGAAGGATAAGGAAAAAAATGCAAGGAGAAAGGGTGTACTTCCTTTCCTGGTTTAATATTTAAAGGGCATCAGTTTAATATTTAATACTAAAGATAATAGGAGCTCTTTTATTCTTTTGCTACTAACATTGCAGAACGTTTTTCGTTTGTTTTTATTAGCACAAGACTTGAGGCTTCACTGTTCCTTCCTGAGATGGTCTGATCCAGGAAAAAATAAATCCACCATCATTGCTTATATTAAGGTTTCCCAAATATGGCTTATGCCATTATCTATCAAATTACAAGAACAGAATCATAAAACTGTAGAATTGTAGAGTGCAGAGTTAGAAGGAGGCTTTTACACCATCAGCAGTGGAACCCTTAGTAAAACTTCACCAGCGAAGATCTGTCCAAACTTTGTGTGAAGAATATCTAGCAAAAGGGAACTCACTAGCAATCAGAGTTACTGGTTGAATGATTCTTGCTGTTTGGAAGTGTTTCCTAACCTTTTCTTTCCTGCTCTGAAAAGTAACTGAATTTGCCCAAGGACACCAAGGAGCAGCTTTCCATTCCCAAAATTACTTTTATTCCTTTTACTAGGAGCCAGACCATGGACTTCCAGGTGTGGTTAACCCCATTTTCAAAAGGATTCAGAGGATGCCGCAAAAACCTAAACAAGATATTATGGCATATAAGCACAGATACATGCATGGAAGAAATGATAGGATGGGAAATAAAAGGAGAAGTCAGAGAGAGATGGAATGAAAAACAGGTAGACAGACACAAGGACCAGAAATGGCTTAAGGAATGATCCCTTATCAGTGATAGGAAGGACAGAGCAGAAGCTGTTCATCAGAACCAACGTGAGTAACATGGAACATCTCCAGCAGGACCCTGTTGAGTTGAAGGGACAGATGGAATGAGTTCCCGTTCAGGCTTAAATAAATAAGATTTTGCATTCAGTGCTTTTGTCCCCAGTGTGGGAAGGGCTGATGTTTCTTCTTAAGTTTCAAGAACATCACAAATTAATGTAACCACACAACCTGTCTGAGTCAAGTTGGGAACCATTGGTGCCGGATTGGAAAGCTCAAAGGAAGGTCAGCAAGAGGCAGAGATTTGGGGGGCAATTGTCCTCTGTCCAAGTGATTTCAAAAAGAGGGCTGAGCAAGTTTTGGAAGTTATTCACAAGAGGTGTTTGGGAAGGGGTGGGAATGTGCCAAGCCTCTTTAAAGCAGCCATGTCTTTTTCATGTTTCTGGATAAGACTCAAAAAACTCTAAAACCAAACAAAACTTCAAAAAGATTCACAGAACTTATTTTCCCTGAAATCCTGTGGTTTCTTTCCCATACTTTGGGGAAGGTGCATACTCCCTGCCGATCCAAGCTGGAATCTCATTCCTTTTTCTGAGGATTTAGAAACCATTAATTACTAGATAAAGAAAAAAAAAGTCTTCTTTGAGGCCAGCTCAACTTCATGAACTTAGACGTGTTCATGAAGCTTTTTTGGATAGGAGACCACTAGGAAAACCCAGGGCTGTCGACTAAACTGGTAAGAGAAAAAAAATGCACAGAATTGCCTTCATGATTGAGATGGCATAAATAAAATAAAATAAAATAAAATGAAATGAAATAAAATGAAATGAAATGAAATAAAATGAAATAAAATGAAATGAAATGAAATGAAATGAAATGAAATAAAATAAAATAAAATAAAATAAAATATAATAAAATGAACAGCTGATCAATAAAATAAAATAGTTGAAAAATCCAATCCAATCCAATCAAATCTGGAAGAAGGGAATGGCAAACTATGTCTACCCCTGTAGAATGGGAAAGATGGGGGGGAGGGGGTTCTATCCCAAATCAAAAGAATCAGGCAATGACTGGAATCCAATTATGTATTCTTTATTGTTTTCTTTATTTGAATTACATTCGAAATACACATTCAAGGCTGCTAATTATACTTCCGCCTGTTTAATTGGGTTTCATTTAGTAAAATATAGAAACATATGCTTAACATTGAAGAGCCTGCCTAATCAGCTTTAGAGAACAGTATAGGCTGAGAAGAGGGAGACCACTTCCTTTGTTGAAAGAAGACCTTTGGAAGAGCTCTTCTTTAGAAGAGAAGCTTCAGTAGGAGGACCCCAAAGAAAGCTGGGAAGAATAATGCAAAAGAGGGGGAGGCTTTGCTGCAGACAACATCTTTAATGAGGGCCCCAGGTTGAATACTTGGGACTTCACTCGGCATGTTGGGGAGCTGGCCAGTTGGAGTCTTCCCTTTCAGTTCTGCAAATTTCTTGCAAATATCTTCCGTACTGCAAGTTTTCATAGTGGTTTGGGCTTGCATTCCTGGAGGAACAGACAAACATCAGTGACCAGGGCCATCATTCAGACCTAAAGCAATTCCTCCACCCACCCAAATATAGGTTTCCAATACTATCTACATGATCAGGCTCAAATTATCCTACTTCGAACACATTGTGCATTGATCCAGTTCTCTGGAGAAGGCTGTAATGCTGGGAAAGGTAGAAAGAAAGAGAAGAAGAGGATGGTCAGCAGCAAGGGGGATGGATTTAATTACAGTGGTGATGGGGGCACTGTTGGAAGACCTGAAGGACCATCACCAACTTGATGGCACATAATCAAACATCAGCTTTATGTGGCTTGTAAAACCTATGTCATTTATTCTCTTGTTGCGAAAAATAGGACTTGTCTTACTTACCTGTAGCAATTTCAGTCTTCAAAGTCATACAGACGACATTGTTACCAGGACATCTTTGCTTTGGACCAGAGCAATCTGCACTGAATGATGTACATGTTTCACACTCCAAGGAACTACCTGGAGATGGGGGAAAGAAGTAGAGAATAAGAGGAAAATATAGGACAGGGACTGGGAATCAGAGACCCTTTTGATATTACTGAACCATGACTAGCTAGGCTGACCAGTGATGAAGATGGTGAGGTCTATCTGGAGGCTCACAGCTGTTTTATCCTATGATGGGGGCCATCTTTTAATTTGCTTGACTTCTCAACCGAAAGACTGGATCTTCACACACATTTTGTAACTGAAAAAGGACAACAGCACTGAATTCTGCTTGTGAGGATTTCTCCAGTACCATCTTCTCACTTCAAATTATTTCAAATTTCTAGAGCAAACTCTGTTTCATCAAACCCCCCCCCCCCCCAAAAAAGGCAGAATTCCTCTCGCTACACACAGGCTATCTTCCAATTCATCTTTCCCTCCTCCAATTATTTTTCATGTAGGAGTCCTCAGTTTTTCTCCATGGCTCTTGGGCCCCTTATGAATTTACTGAGGAGATATTTTCAATTATTTGGTTGGGGCAAAGCCATAGAGGAGCTGGTTGTATGTTGTTCCCTGCCGTATTTTTGTCTCTGCTGTTCCTTGTCACAGGTCGTATCTGCAGACCTGCTTCTACTTTCTGACCTAAATGTATACAGAACACAGAACAGAATACAGAATACTTTAATGGCCAAGTATAAAATATATACAAGGAATTTGTCTTCGGTGACGAACAGCAAGATCAACAGTGCATTTGGATAGCAACAGAAAAAGGAATGATAACAAACTATAACACTATACAGTAAAATAACTTTTTCAAAGGGAGAAGCCACTGTCCAGCACATATCGTGTCATGCAGTGTTTAACAGAGCAATGGCACAAGGGGAAAAACTGTTCCAGTATCTAGATGTTTTAACATATGGTGCTCTGCAGCGCCGTCCTGAAGGAAGAAGTTGGAACAGTTTATATCCAGGATGGGAAGAGTCTGCAGA